AGCCAACATGCGTGCACAGAGTCCAAGTGCGGCGATGATCATGGCCTGGCTATCCATTTCCCATTGCGCCGCTGGCATCATTGTGGGGATAGTAAGATTGAATGCAATGGGAGATATGAGACGGTACTAGTAAAATTCCTTGTCAAATACATAGATTACAAGTATCAGGAAATCCAAGTATATAATTATAACCCAGATAATTGCCTGCTGTTGAAGCCTTTGGAAATCACCAGTACGGTAATCTCTCCCTTCTACTTCCTAAATGAGGTACTTAATGTTACCTTATTCCGTTGCCCTACTCTTGTTGAAAGAGATACATATGGTGGCTTTCAAGTCCCCTGCCTTGGTGGCCACGGAGACAGAATTTATGGCGTCTTTTCTTCCATTGGATTATTTGAAAGCTTCACAGCCCTACAGTCTTGTACAAGGATGTATGATGTTTTATCAGTTCCAGTTGGCGATTGGGTAAATGGCAGTCTTATTCTTCAATTCAAATGGTCAAAACCGAATTGTACAGAATGTGAAGCAGAGCGCAAGAGGTGTATATTGATGAACAATGGCACCACGAGCGAAATTGGATGCGTTCCCCATACGAAACCAAGTAAGGATAACGTGTAAATCTATATTTCGCATAAATTCTGCTCATGATTTATTATTATTATTTTTTTTTTCAAAGATGATGATCAATATACTCTGCTACCTGCTGTGATTTTTCTCCCTTCATGTAATTAGTGGCTTATATATGTGGTGATGATATTAATTAATTTCAATAACTGACAGTCTAATTTTCACAACTATCTTTTGCAGGCAAAACAAAGACGTTTGTGGCCACAGGTGAGTTGTGTAAGCGTGGTGTTTATCTTTGTTTCATGTCCAAAGGACACTCGAGAATAAATGTTTACTCATGGATTGAATCTATCTATTTGCAGGAGCAACCCTGGGTTCATTTGTTCTGTTACTAGGGATCTTTGTAGCATATCACGTCTATAGCGCTGATCAAAAGGAAAAAGAGAATCAATTAAAACTTGAAACATTTTTAGCGGACTACAAAGCTCTCAAGCCAAGCAGATATTCATATGCAGATATTAAGAGGATTACAAATCAATTCAAGTACAAATTAGGCCAAGGAGCCTACGGAACTGTTTTTAAAGGAAAACTTTCTTCTGAATGCTTTGTTGCTGTGAAGGTACTTAACAATTCTAAGGGCGATGGGAAAGAGTTCGTAAATGAAGTGGGAGCAATGGGTCATATTCACCACGTCAATGTGGTTCGCTTGGTTGGTTTTTGTGCGGATGGATTTAGACGAGCTCTGGTTTATGAGTTCTTTCCCAATGGTTCGCTCCAGGATTATGTTTCATCAGTAGATAGAAAGAACTCTTTCCTTGGTTGGGACAAGTTGCAAGATATTGCTATCGGCATAGCCAAAGGAATAGAATATCTTCATCTGGGATGCGATCTACGAATCCTCCATTTCGATATCAAACCCCACAATATTTTGCTAGACCAAAACTTCACACCAAAAATCTCTGATTTTGGTCTGGCCAAATTATGTTCCAAGGATCAAAGCATAGTGTCAATGACTACAGCGAGGGGGACCATGGGCTACATTGCACCCGAAGTGTTTTCCAGGAATTTTGGAAATGTGTCTTACAAGGCAGATGTTTATAGTTTTGGAATGCTGCTGCTTGAGATGATAGGAGGAAAGAAGAATATTGGTTCAACCACAGAGGACACGACCAATGAAATTTACTATCCAGAATGGATTTATAACCTTCTAGAGGAAGGAGATGACCTACGAATCCATATCGGGGAAGAAGGGGATGGTAAGATTCCAAAGCAACTTGCAATTGTGGGGCTTTGGTGCATCCAGTGGCACCCGGTGGATCGTCCTTCCATGAAAACGGTTGTTCAGATGCTAGGAGGAGGAGAAAACTTGAGGATGCCTCCTAATCCTTTTGTTTCTGCAGGTCCTACACAAACATCACAGGCAGGCATCCCCAAAAGGCGCCGCCTAGAGTTGGAAGCAATTGTTGAATTAGAGTAACATGTAGATGTATACCACCAACCAGTAGTTCATAGATGAATTCAGGCACAAACATTTGTTAGTGTATAAGCCATGAGCTGATTACATTAGTAATAATGTCTTGTATTTAATTATTATAACATTATTGCACTTTCTTAACAATTTGATATTCACCTAGTTGACGATGAACATGTTAGCTCGATGTTAGAACACATTGGGTTCGATTTATTTTCTTGAATATCACCCACAGTCACAGACGCCTCTTGTGGGCACAAAGAAGGCTTGAGAAGCAATTGCAGACATTCAACATCTCTTCCAAGCATTTCAATGACTTTGTACATCGAAGGGCGATCACTTGGTTTCATTTGAATACACCACAATGTGGTTATAATTAACCATCTTTCTCTTCCTCCTCTGTAACTCATTTTCAGACACCAATCGTTAGATTTCACTTCATATTTATACGACTTTAGGCCTTAACGACTATACATTGCACTGCCATTGTTGAAAAGGTCTACTGGCTTTATTTTACGGTAACATGTTTTGTGAGGTTGAATTCTGTAACACTATTTACAATAACATGTTTTATCTATTTTACGGTAGCATGTCATCCCCACCCAAGTTTTTCTCTTCGCATTTAGTATGGAATACCAAAACTTGCCTAACAAAGCCAATTAATTCATAAGCAAAACTAATTCTTCGGCCGAACTTTACTTCGAATGCTAGTCAGATGAAACAATATGAATCATAAACTAAACACAATAGTTTGGGATGTAGTTGGACGTGAATGGGTGCTTGGTGAATTAAGAAACTTCATGGATCTAGGATACCCATCGGTCAACACGCATACAATATAAGTTAGGAATAAAGATTGTCGTATCAGTTGGCTATACCAAAAGAGTTTTTGGCATCTGGAGGATTATTCTTTCATAGAAATTTCCAAAGATGAGAAAGTTAAACTAATCAAATTTTAACAAGTTTGAAAAATCAACTATTTATATATAAGAGGATCCTGATTGATGTGTTACGTTGATTTGAAGATTGGTCTTGAAGTTATGGAGTGATTCATTCATTTAAAATCAACTATTTATATATAAGAAGATCTTGATTAATGTGTTACGTTGATTTGAAGAACGGTCTTAAAGTTATGGAGTGAGATATTCATTTAAAATTAGCAAAAGAATGTAACAATTAGAAAAAGGGTTGTCTAAATGGTGGGGTACTTTTACTTTTAAAGTCTTTAAGGAACAAGAATGACAGGTTCTAAGTTAGAATAATGCAATTTTCACGCAATTAGGACAAAGAAAGAAGTCTTACTTTGTAAGCCATAAAGATTCTTGTGTATGACTTACGACATCCCACACTTTTTCTACAAGAGTGGGCCTTGGTGATACAAAATTACAAGGCGGATTTGTGTGTGTAGCTGATCTAGAGGTCATACACTAGATTAAGATTTCCTCCGTTACGTAACTCCATGAGTCCCATAAATTCATAATGGTTTGAACCAGTTCAACGACACTTCAACATCTGACTAATGTTGTAAGAGGTTTGCGACATCCAGATATCACCAGTTTGAGATAAAACACAGATGAAAGAAATTTTTCATATTTTATTTTACTTTTTTACTAGTATGACGAAATGTATGTCAAAACAAATCAAACTATTCTATTTCTGTAAAAATACCCAAATATGAATGAAATCAATTACAATCGAAGACTCATAATAACCAAAACATTGCTTTTATACTAAAATGTATGTGTCGATTGAAATGACTTTTTGGCTACATATGATAATTTTTTATATAAACTGATATTTTTAAAATTACGGATCAATTTTTTGCTATATTTGATAAATACTTGCGTACATGTGCCATGAACGTCTTTCTCATATGTTGGGAGTTACCGGATATGCTGGAATCAATTAGGAAACGTTTAATTAGGAAGATATAGAGGTCCCATAATTAATTCTGAAGTATTGAGCAGCTCCATGTGCAGGAGGTGGAATTTGCCCATGTGTCCCGTCATTGCAACGGAGTAGCCTTAACATCCTGGACGACATCACAAGGGTACTCATTGAAAATATGTACTTCGAGACGAGGACTCTCCAAATATCGTTCAAGATGTTTTTCTACAAGATCTTAAGTATATTCCTTCTAAGTTCCTATTATCATTTCCACTTGATAAAAAAATAAAAATTTCTTAAATGAACTGATGAAGGTACTCAACAGAAGAAAATTGAAGCAATAATCCCCGAACTCAAAACTTGTGAGTATTGATTTCTAAACTTACTACAATGTGGAACAATAATCATTTTAACAGTCCCTCTAAACCCTTTATTTTGAATGGAAGTTCTAACATAGTTAGCAAAAAGAATCATTGCTTCACGTCACCTCACGGATTGTTAGTTTAGGAACTAAAGCTCTGATTAAGCTAAAGTTCAAGGACCATTGCTTCATTTACCTCACTGAACAAAATCATCCCAAAAATTCAAAACTTTATTCAGAAACCACAATAAAAATTTGATTAGGAGTTCAATACCAAGACAAACAATTCATCTATTAAGTTTAAGGGAAGTGATTTTCACACACAATTTTTCTTCCGTTGCACAACTATGTTTATTTCTAACTGTAGAATATATGGACATTCTAACCGTAGAATCAATGGACATAAATAAACCGACTGCACAGAAGGACACGAGAGTATGAAAATCGTTTCCCAAGTTTAATCATTTTACAGAAACCCACTCCCACCCAAACACAGGACATGTATATCACTACATCTAATACAACCATAGCACCAGTAACACATCAAATTCGTAAGGATCAACTACGTTTAGTCAAAAACTATCCAAAACTTAGCGGGCTTAAAACGTTTTATTACATACGAAACAATTAGGCAGTTCGTCAATATTAATTCCAGCAGAAAATAAGCAAATCAACCAAAAGCAAACAAACCAATCACTAAGAAACAGTATGCGATGCAAGCTGCAATTTGAATGAGATCCTATTTCCGTTACCCGCAGCATAACATATATAAGTTTCATCATAAATGTGGAACTTTATGAACCAAAGTAAGCCACGAACACGAAACGAGCAGAACATGACACTCTCAACAGACTCAATGGAACTGAGTAAAAACAATCACCATAAAAGACTGGAAGATCATTGAAAACCAAGTCATCCCATTAATGTTTAAGAAAAGATGCCACGAAGAACACCGATACTCAACGCAGAGCGATTCTCACAGAAGTTATATACACTGTTATTATTCATGTTTACTTCCAAAGGAAAAACTTTTCAAGTACTGCCAAAGTGCCCATCACCATTTCAGCTTTTAATGTGTCCCATCAGCCTTCTGCAAAAGAGAAATGACCGTGTATGTGGAATTGAAATAATGAATGAAATCCAGTCATACTATAGGAAGAATGTCTTAGAAGTAATAACTGATTAAAATTAGAACAAACCAGTCAAAACTCATCACTGCCACAAGTATCTGGTTGAAGTGTCTCTATTTTAAAAAACATATGCATGCTACTATAGCGTTTGCGGTTAAAATTTCGTGATAGATGCAACAACAAAATATTCTACCACATCAAGTGAAAAGGACATGTGGTATAATTTGTTAGTATTCAAGCAGAATCACTAGGCCATCAAACAGGCCACATAGGTTTACGCAAAGGGCTGTCTCCCAAGGATACTCTACACTTTGTAAGAAAACAAATGATCTAGTTTTCAAAAAAATGCAGACTTTTCACCATAAACCTATGTTCCGTGTTTACCCTTGAGGTCATCTGTAAGACTAAGATAGAACCCAAGAGCCAACAATTCTCTCTCATTCATCTCGAATAAGCAACAAATTTGAAGTTATAGAAAGCGCTTGTTGAAGGAGCTGCAATCTATCTTTCTTTTTATTATTCTTTTTTTTTGATGATTGAACCCATTCATAAATCAGCAACTAGATGCAGAGAAACATGTAGCTTCCCCTAATGGACACCATGTACCTCAATAATGACATTTTAAGAGCAGATTGCAGGAAACCTCGATGATAAGTATAGACGTTCTCACTAGTAAGCCTAAGTCTCAAAGTTGGTTCAGAAAAAAAGATTGACAAAACTGTGATGTGAAGGCTAATTAAGCATGTGAAATGTAGGCCATGGTCATCCGTGCCAACGGGCCAAGGAGACCAAAGACAACATTGAAAAGCTTGATAAGCTAGTCAGTCTATTCAATTAAACCTCAAGCCAGCATAAATTAATACCGCTCCTCCAATCCCAACCTCATCATTTTGATCACTCAGACGGAATTCTCTCTTATTATGCATTTACTCAATACCGTGTCCTTTCCTCCAGTAATTTCTGAGTACATTATATTATAACGCTAACTCGAGTGATCAAACATCGCAAAGCTACGCCTCACTTTCAGCAATTGAACACATTCCAAATGTCAATTTTATATGCGTGTGTGTGTGTTCTTGCTTACTAAAATGCACAATTCACTGCGACATACAGCAACAACAGTTTTCTACTATCTCGTAATTACGCAGACACCACAAGAAATCACAGGTCTCTGTAAATTTGTGCCAGTCTCATTCGGCACAGTGTAAAATCCACACACAGACACAGAAACACACATATCCTCAATAAAGAATTAATCCGCACCTTATCAGCATTTTCTTTCGCTTTCTCGGCCTTTTCCTTCTCAGCCTTCTGCTTCTCCAATCTCTCCCTCTCCTTTCTCTTCACAAATTATTACCAAAAAAAAAAAAAAAAAAAAAAAAACAGAACAAGTTGATTCGATTACAGAAATTCAATAAATTCAAAATATAATTTTTTGATCGGACAAAACATAATAATAACCTAAACACAGATTCAAATCTGATTGAAAAATAAGTATTATAAAACAAAGTTTAAAAAAAAAAAAATTAAAAGACAGGAGAGAGAGCTTGGGGTTGCCTACCTGGATGTAGACATTCTCGGCGGCGCGCTCCTCCTCGCTGAGGATTTTGCCTTTGCCTGCGCTCAAGTAGCGAGTGGCTCCCCGAGACGACTCCATGGAGCGAGTGATCAACGCTCGAGTTAGCACCGCCAGGCTCTGACCGGATCTCATTGCCGCCATCGCATTTTGCTTTCCACTGCTAATAGTATATTAGTAACAGAGCAACTTATACTTGTATAGTTTGTTCGTTTGCATTTTTTTACCGCTATACCGAATTCAAAATTTCTCATTTACAAGTTAAAAAATAAAAAAAACCAAAGATTAGCTGCTTAATAAAATGTTGGAGCTGCTACTCTCAACTAATAACATTTGACAAGTGTTAAAAAAAATTTGAAAAATTAAAACTCGAAAAAACAACTTAAATATTTGTCAAGTTGTTATTGAGTGAAAACAGGAACTCCTGCATTTTTTTTTAAGCAATCAAGCTTTGTAGAAAGAAAAATACCACTCAAACTATAGTATGGCATGAAATAATCAATTGATCTCAAATACAATCAAACCCTCCATAAATTAAATGGTGTTTAGAACAAGAAAAATCTATTAATTTAGTGCATATTAAATAATTGATTAATCAATGGTTTTTTTTCTCTCTGTCAATAGTTGATAGCTTATTAATTTATTAATGTATTCTTTATTGAAAAGGGATCCCTTCTAACAAGTCCACCAAAGTCACAAATCCGAACTTTTAAAATTTGATCAAACGATTACAAACAGGAATTCACTTTAAAATTTATAGTAATTTTAACCGTTGGATCAAATTACCAAAAGAATAAGCTTGTCTCACTAGATATGTGCCAAAACTTTAGCCCACAAATCATCTCCATAGCGTAAAATGGCAGATTTGTGACAATATTAACCCTAACTATACCTCACAATTTTTATTTGATTACACTAGCATCCCTTGATGTTTCTCTGTGAGTAATGTTAGGGAGACTAAATTTGTAAACTAAATGATATGTCACCAATAGGAATGAGCATATTTATTAATGCTTAAGTAATAAATCAATCATCAACTTCTATGTCATTTAGTTTCCAAAATTTTGTCTACAAATTTAGTTTCCCTACCATTACCTTTTCCATGTTCACACAAATCCCTTGAGGTTTATAATAATACCCCCTTGAAGTTTCATATTGTTTCCATGAAGCTCATTCCGTGAAAATTTCATCCAAAAATGGATTATATCATTAAAAAATTCTCCACAAATTTCTTATAGTTAATCACATAGATTTCACATAACCCCTCACAGTCATTGTTTTTTTCCACAAAACTCCCTGAGCTTTTGTAAATAAGAACTCCTAAAGTTTTAAGATGCTTTCGTATATAAATCATTAATTATAATACAGTGTGACATAAGTTGTTCAAGAGCAAAAAGAAAATCTTTTAAAGTGAAAAAAAATATATATATTTAGCTATTGCTATTGATGCTAGAAAATGGTTAGTCATCAAAGAACTTGTGTGGACACAAGTAGTTGAAGCGGGTCGGATGAACCATATCCTAAGAGATAGATTGGTTCACTTGTAATCGAGCTACATCCACTGTGGTGTATTGATATTTGTGTGTGTATTACAATAGTTTTGAGTCCTTACATAAGTAGGGCAGCCTATTTCTTAAGGAAGGTCATGTTTGTGGCCTCATAGCAAAGGTGATGTGGCCTCTCCCAATCCAAAAAAGAAAAAAAAAAATATATATATATATATATATATATATATATATATATATCTTAGTTCCCGAGTCAAAATAAGAGTGTAAATAGTGTTGTTTGTTCAAAAAGAAAAAAAAAAAAAAGACAGGCATTCATCCAATGACGGGATTAAAAACATGCACTTATTTGTTGTTTATATGACATTTGTATATCCAGTTGTCCTGGGTATGACTTCCATGCAAGCAAAGATCATCCAACTAAGTACTTCTTCACACACATAAATTAATTTCACAGTTCGATTGAATTCGTAACTTCAAGTTTAGTAGATGTTAGACCAAAGTTCACCTTAGAAAACGCGATCACTTCATGTTTCATACTTCATATCCGATTTCTGGTCCAAGTCCGACATGACAAATGCTAATGAAAGCGGAAAGCCCTTGCAAGTTTGCAACCAAGTCCAAAGTCCACAATCTCTACTTTTAGTTGAGTCCAAATTCTTCAGCCCAATTCACATACAACCCAAAACCCACCCACAAAAATTGAAAAATATTGTGGGGAAATAGGAAAGGCCCTTTCTCGGCTTCGCAGGTTTCCTGGAAAATTTGGATGTGCGGGAAAACATGTTTAGGGTTGCTCTCACACGCAAACCCATCTCAATTTCTCTTATCATTCACCCCTCAAAACCCAAATCCCAAAAATACCCAAAAGATTTGGGTTTACTTTTGATAGAATTATGAATTCTTGTTCTATTATTCCATACATATCAAACGATCCTGCCCGGTACCAGTTTCACTTCATCTTACGGTACAATGCCGCCTCTCAGCTGGGTTTGTACCTTTTGTGGAACTAATATACCATATTACAAAAGGAAGACAAAACATTAAAAAGGAGTACAAAGAAATAATATAAAACAAGCAAAAAACAACACCAAATGCTTAACCTTATAGCGGACTTATAAATTTCCTATCATCAGCTTGATGGTTTTAACAATCTCAACAAACCATTCACGCTTCTTTGTGATCACCACATCAGAAAGAACAACTCCCACCACCAACCCACTTCCAAGACCAGCCAAAACAAATTTCCAATCAAATTCAAATGAGCCTGAATCATTTTCTTCGGTTTTTGAAGGCGACAGGCGAGGAGCCTTAGGATCTCCGCATTTCTTTGGCAAAGGATCTCCGCACAATCCAGGGTTTCCTTCATATGAACTGCTACCCATTGAAATAAGTTGGGTTCCATGCGGTATTGGACCTGTCAAGCTGTTGTTAGAGACAATGAATGTTTCAAGGAATGTAAGCTGCGCGAGGCTTTGAGGGATTTGTCCTGAAAGCTTGTTTTGTGAAAGGTCCAGTGATTCAAGCCACGTTAAATTCCCGAAAGATGATGGGATGGGACCAGTTAGGAGGTTACCAGATATATTGAATGACATCAGCCCCTTTAGGTTCCCAATAAATTCAGGAATCCTCCCTTCAAATTTGTTGCTTGAGATGTCAATCGCTACAAGGGCTTCTTGAATCTTCGGATAATATCTCTCCACACCTTTGCTAGTTATCGTGATCGAGTAATATTCCTCAAATAATTTAACAGCACTCTTAGAATCGATATATGAATCTACCTTCATATATGTTGACTGGTTTCGAGTGACACCCCTCATGACATTCCCGGAAAAGATCTTTTGAGATGGAAATTTGCCTCTGAAACTATTAAAAGATAGATCCAGAATTCGTAACTCCGGGAAATATTCAACATTATCCTGATGAGGTTCCTCCATCGGACCGTAGAACGCGTTCTGGTGCATTTTCAAAACTTTTAACTCCGGAAGAGCTCCCAACCAAAAGGGAAAAACATCGCTGAATTTATTGTATGACAGATCAATAAACTCAAGTGTCGTGCAGTTCCCCAACGACCTTGGTAGTTGCCCTCGCAATTGGTTATGACTAACATCAATCACCCTCAGATTGCTTGTGTTGGTGTATATTTCAGGAAGAAAGCCGCTGAAAGAGTTGTTTCCAAGATATAAACCTCGCAGATCATTGCTGAAGTTTCTGAGACAGGGGGGAAGCATTCCACTCATATTGTTGTTGGAGAGGTCAAGGAACTGAAGAGAAGTCAGACTGTAGATCAATGGTGAAATTGCTCCATGTAGATTGTTATTCTTGAGCACTAAAACTTGTAGGTTAACCCAAGGAAAGGCATCTGAAGGCTGGACAATGCTTGAAAGGAAGTTGTCAGAAATGTCCATCTCCGCCAAAGTCTCTGTGCTTGTGTTCAACATCCATTTTGGTACTTCATGCAAATTGTTGGAGGAAAGGTCCAAGAACACCAATGTTTCTTGATACTGCAGGAAACTTGGGAACTCTCTTATGTTGCACGAACTCAATCCCAGAAATTCTAACTTTGGAAGTAGGCTTGCATTCGTACTTTCTGTTTCTGTGAAAATTTTCAAATTGGTACGAGATAATTGTAAATTGGTGAGCCGTCGTAACTTATGAAACACCATGCGGAACTCCACTGTACCAGTCAGATTATTATCAGATGCATCAAATAACTCGAGATTGATGAGATTGGATAAGGAATTAGGTAATGGACCGGTTAACTGATTCGAAGACAAATTAAGTTCTATGAGGTGGGTGAGATTTTCTAGAGAAGGAATTGGACCGGTTAACTGATTGGAAGACGGATCAAGTGCTATGAGGTGGATGAGATTTCCTAAAGAAGGAATTGGACCGGTTAACTGATTCGAAAACAGATAAAGGTATGTGAGGTGGGTGAGATTTTCTAGAGAATGAATTGAACCGGTTAACTGATTCTCATATAGAATAAGGTCTGTGAGGTGGGTGAGATTTCCTAGAGAAGGAATTGAACCTGTTAACTGATTCGAATACAGATAAAGTTCTCTGAGGTGGGTCAGATTTCCTAGTGAAGCCGGGATGTAACCGCTAAAATGATTAAAGAAAAGTGACAGGACTTCGAGCCTGTTGAGACTACCGAGAGCAAAGGGAATGGAGCCACTAAAAGCATTCATTCCAAGATGGAGCTCCTTCAGTTGGGTGAGGTTTGCCAATGAACTAGGGACTGGACCGCTAAAGTTATTTCCTGAAAGGTCTAAATGTATGAGCTGCCTAAGATTACCAAGTGAAGATGGAACCAAACCCGAGAAATTGCAGTATGCCAAATCCAGCGTGTTTAATAAATCAAGCTTTTCGATTGAAGAAGGCAAATTTCCGAATAAGCTAGTGGAGCTAGGATACGGTGAAGTGAGAGTACTGCAAGACAAATCAAGGGACGACAAGTTGGCCAGCTGTGAAATTTGGGAAGGGATTTGGCCAGAAAAGGAAGAACCAGAGAGATTAAGATGCATGAGCCCAGGGAAATTCCCAATGCTAGTAGGAATTCGAGAGGAATTGAAGTTGTTGTCAGCAAGGTTCAGCACTTGAAGATGAACAAGCCGGAAAAGGCTGCTGTTGGAGTTGATAGAGCCCAGGAGACAGCTGCTACTAAGATCAAGGCCAATAACATGACCCGTCCTCTCATCACACACAATGCCATCCCATGCACAGCAGCTGACGTTTCGTCCCTCAGCTAGTTTCCATTGCAAAATCTTTGGATAAGCATCATAAGAATACGAGGCAGATCCGTTAATGATGAAGCTTTCCTTGAATTGCAGCAAGGCAGACCTCTCCTCGTCATGACAAGATTGCTGCAATGAGGAAACTGATGAGCTAACAACCACGAGATGAAGCAACACAACTTTTGAAAGTGTATAACACATATTGGAAACAAACAAGCACCGGCGGAATCCCATTGTGTTTTGTTCTGCACTCTTCGATATTAGCATGAGAGTGAGGTTGTGAGAGAGGTTTTTTTATAGACCGGTCGTAGGGGTTCCGCAAGTTAGTGTGTAAAACTTTTCTAATATCCCATCCAAGTTTCCCATCAAAATGGCCCCATACAGCATGTCAGCAAAAAGTATATACAAAATAAATCAGCAACCCCTTTTTCCTTTTATTCAAATAAATAACTCAATTTCTAGGTGATTCGAATTTGATGGCTAGTTCGAGGCAAATAATAGAACCACTTGCCCAAGCGTTTGTGGCACGGTCATCACTTTTTTTTTTATTTTTTTATTTTTTTTAATAACCGCTCATTATCATGTGAAAGGGTTACGTGCTGTAGTGATACATCCTCATGCGAAAGTGGCACGTACAATTCTTGTTAAACTTCTCCTACACAAGAAGCAAATAGCCTAATTGACCATAAATGTAAACATAAATATTTAAATTTTCACCGGATGAACTAACTTAAAGATTAAAATTTTTATAAACGAAGAAATATACAATATTTTTCAGCCTAAGAAAGTTTTCACAGGGCATGCTAGAAATTTTACATTATTAAACAAATACATGCTAAAATTGTAATTTGATTATGCTCTCCTTGTTCATGTGATTTTGCAAGGTGCAAGTGAAAACCATCCTCTTGGTGAATTAGTACAGGCTTGTCGTGAGCTGTTAGAGAGAGATTGAAATTGTGAACTCTGTCATGTTTATCATGAATTGAATTTTGTCGTTGATGAACAGACTAATTAACTTGAGTTTGTCGTATTTTCTTGGTCCAGTTTATTCAAACAAGCTCTTGCCTCTTGTCGACATATCTTAGTGTCGGACACTACTGGAATATCTAGACTTTGTGATGGTTTGCTTTAGTTTTCTCTTATGGGCGATTAACCTCGTTTGCTTTAGTTATATCTTTAATAACATTAGTCACCTAAACAATGTTGTAACATTAGTCACCCGAGTGTTGTAGAAACAGACGAATATGTTTCAAATTATTAGTGCTAAAATCAGACAGTCCATATATCATCCCAATATTTGTCCCGAATGTTTCTTTCGCTCAATGCCAAGAGAAGTGATGATTACATGCCTATCATCCAGTTAGAAGCTAGTACAACTCCGCATGCGAGAAATCTAAACATTGAGTTAGAAGCTATTGCTGAATTAGAGTAACAATGATACTTTCTTATAAAAAGTGTACAATTAAAATTTTAAAGTACTAATAATAGTTTTTTATTAAAAGAAAAAAAAAGAATTTTCTTCAAAGTAGGACTTCCCTAACTTTCCATGAGCTTTCGCTTCAACGTGTTTATTAGTTGAACGATTCAAGAAGTCACCCAAGAGGTGCTACCATCACTATCCCATCCAAGTTTCCCATCAAAAAATGACCCCTTACAGTATGCATGTCAATAAAAAAGACTTCTCTTCTCATCTCTTTTCATCTCATCCTCTCATAATTTTTTATTTTATCTTTTTCTTATTATAAAAAATTAATATAAGATGTTGACGTGACCGTTCAAATAGGAGGAGAGGGAAAGAGAGAGAAAAAAAAAAAAGAGAAGAGAATCCTACTCCAACAAATATAAATACAAAATAAACCCCCTCTTCCTTTTATTCAAATAAATAACTCAATTTCTAGTAGCTCGAATTTGATGGCTAGTTCAAGGCAAATAATAGAGCCACTTGCCTAAGCGTATGCGGCACGGTCAACACATTTTTTTTTTAAATTTTTAAATTTTTTTTAATAACCTGTCATTATCATGTGGCATTCATATTTAATAATACATTATCATATGAAGAATGCTTTACACATAATAATGCAGTATTGGACAAGAAATGTCACGTGATGGTGAACAAGGACGAAGCCTTTACCGAGTGTGCTAGCTTAAAGATTTACATTTTTATAAATGAAGAAACATACAATATTTTCTTTTCACATTATCAGCTAACCTAAGAAAATTTTCACATGGTGAGCCAAAAATTTTCATTCTTAAACAAATACATGTAAAATTGGAATCTAATTTTGTTCTCATTGGCCATATAGTTCTTCAAGGTGTGAGTGAGAACTATCCTCTTGGTGAATTGGAGGCTTGCTGTGAGCTGTTAAACAAAGATTGGAATTGTGAACTTGGTCATATTTACGATGAGATGCATTTTGTGGTTGAGGAATTAGCTAACTTGAATTCTCTTGGTCTAGTTTATTTCGCTCAAACTCCTGCCTCTTGTCATCTCTTGGTGTCAGATGTTGCTAAAATCTTTATACCTTGTGATGTTTTGCTTTAGTTTCTCTAATACGTATTAAAATTTAAACGACGCCAAACTTGAAACAAATATGTCCGAGAAGTGATTAGAAAAGAAGTGTAAGAAAAAGAGATGGCTTATGAATTGTCAGATGAGAATTGTTATTAGCACTCAAAAATCTCATTCCACACTCCCCACATATGTATTTTCTTTCTAATTATAGAAAGTTTAGAGTTGAAAATAAGATTTTTAAAGTGCTAATAAGAATTACATTGTAAGATATAATCTTATATAATTAAACTAAGATAATTAGACTTAGTGGCTAAGTATATAGTACACTACATTAAAAAATTAATGAAAAATATATGTAAAATTTTCTTTTTTCACCAAAAGTTAATTTGTATATTGCATTAATTTGAATATTGGTACAAATGATAGGAAAGGGATCCTCTCTGGATCCCTTCCTTCTAATCCACTAAATTAAGGAATTCATATCGTTGAAAATTGATTTAACGGCCGAAGTTATTATAACTTTTAAAGTAGACCCTTATTTGTAGTCATTTAATCAAATTTCAACAGTACGAGTCTTCTGATTTGGTGGATTAGAAAGAAGGGATTCGAAAATGATTCCTTTCCCACAACGTAAGATCTTATACAAAACCTATGTGCTATTCTAAGTAAATAGAACCTATAATAAAGCTAATTACATTTACATCCCACAATCAATTTATCCCAAAAATTGATAATTTCAGAAGCTACAATCACTCTCAATCAAATCGTGTGATTTCTTTTCCTTCAACATTTAGCCCAAGGTAGCTTTTAACGTGGCTACAAACAGTACAAATGGTTGATACGTAATTCTGCCAGACTGGAAGCACCAAAGCTGGTTAAAACCTGAAATTATGGAGTGAAGGGCCTCCATAGATTGCTGACACTTGGAGCATGGGGTGGCGCGCCTCCATACATGGCTAACACTTGGAACATGGAGTGAAGGTCCTCCATAGCTTGCTGTCCTTGAACTTAGGGTGTGAATGACCTCCATGGTTAGCTGACACCTAAAACATGGTGTGAAAGGTCTCCATAGTTGGCCGCCAGAACATACGAAGTGGGATTCTCTCTCTTCTCATTCATATTCTCTTCTTTCTCCTTTTCTCACACGCTTACTTTTTATCTTATTATTTTTATTAAAAAATTATAAAATATTAACGTGATTTAACGATAATGTTTATGTACGGTGGACAACCTTAAATATTATTATCATTTATCATGACAGCCGTAAAAGAAAAAATAGGACAAAGGAACCTAGGAAGAGCCACCAGTACTGACAACTCAGGGTGGAAAGTAGCTAGAAAAATGGGTTTCGCACAGACCGTATGCATGTTATTAATATGGACATGAAAGCCACACAAAAAGAACTTGTGAAAATGAGACTCTATTAGTCAGTCAACACCAACTCATGACACTCATGAGCCAAGTCGCACAATTGAAAACAAAGTGACCGTGTTACATAAGGTAAATATTGTACAATTATTCAATTTTTTTGCAATTTTTTTTTATTTTTCGGTGGAAATAATTCAATATCAGTTCACATTCAATTACATCTTCACCATCTAGAGTAATGATTTATCCAAGAACACCATCATTGATGGGTGGCAGGGTTCCATATTGACTATCGTGAGGTCTTTCTTGTAGTCAATATATTCATAAGTTTTTTTCTCAATTTATTCTTTCATGAATTGTTGAGAATGAAAAAATGTTCATTAAAATTCAAAATCTAATAAATCAAATAATTCATAATGCATTCATAAATTAATGAGTTTTTGACTCCTGAATATCCAACCAATTAAATAATTATTTATAACATATTTTATTTTTCTATAACAAATAAGAAAGTAATTGTTAGCGTTTTTCTAGAATTTTCCGTAAACTTCTATGAAATAAATAGTCAATTATCTTGCACAATCATGTTGTGAAGGATGATGCACGCCATTGTGATGGAACGAGCGCCGCTTCATCAAACAATCTTACAGCCCTTCCTACCAAGTGCTCAACGAGTTTGGAGGAAACAAAAACATCACTCCACATCCTTTCTGCACCTCTCTTAACATCTTGCGAAATCGTTTTCCATTTTACTTTGTGAACGTGACACTATTTTGACAAATGATGTCACGGTTCTCTTGATTTCATACGCGACTGGAGGACAACTTCCTCACAACACATCGTTGAACATGGAGATTGACCATGGGCATTGAGGTCATTTTAAAAATAGCAACTCAATTTCTAGTAGACTTGAATTTGATGGCTAGTTCAAGGCAAATAATAGAACCACTTGCCTAAGCGTATGCGGCACGGTCAGCGCATTTTTTTTTTTAAGTTTTTTAATTTTTTTTAATAACCTGTCATTATCACGCGGCATTCATATTTAATAATACATTATCATATGAAGAATGCTTTACGCATAATAATGCAGTATTGGACAAGAAATGTCACGTGATGGTGAACAAGGATGAAGCCTTTATCGAGTGTGCTAGCTTAAAGATTTAAATTATTATAAATGAAGAAACATACAATATTTTTTTTCACATTATCAGCTAACCTAAGAAAATTTTCACATGGTGAGCCAAAAATTTTCATTATTAAACAAATACATGTAAAATTAGAATCTAATTTTGTTCTCATTGGCCATATAGTTCTCCAAGGTGTGAGTGAGAACTATCCTCTTGGTGAATTGGAG